GGTCATTGTCGAGAATAGCAAACTCGTCCTCACACTTCCTGATGAACTCCTCCTTCTTTTGAATGTCCTTGGCCGTTCTTGATCAGCTGCTTCGACTGCTCGGCACCCTTGGCAGCTTCGGCAGCCTTCTCCTTCCGCTCCCTCTCTTCCTTGCGTTTACGCTGGCGCTCGAGAGTGCGGTCGTTCGGTCGGCGTCCGTTCCTGCGCTTCTGCGCGTCTTCTTTCCGAGTCGGAGCCGTCTCCATCCTTGGTCGGAGTGTCAGCCTTGGCCGGAGAGTCCACATCAGTCGTAGCAGCTTTTGCATCCTCCTCCGCCTTGGCAGGGTCCTGCGGCGTCTCCTCGGGCAAGAGAGCCTTTCGTTGGTCGTTCAGCACCTTCAGCTCCTCGACACTGTCTCCGGTCAGTACGAATCTCTTGCTGTCACGGCAATGGTACTCACGCTTGTTTCCTCTGCCTCTGCCACTCAATCTTCTCCTTCCGGTAGCCCGTCATCGTCTCGCTGCAGTCCTCCATGTACGCGCGAATAGCCTTTGTGCGCATAGTGAGCATGCAGATAATCTGCAGGGCTTGTACCCGGTAATTGACGTCGAGATTCGCATAGGCTCGTAGGACCGTTTCTTGTGTCGGGTCCACGGATCGGGGGACAAGTTGCTCAAGCAGCTCTTCGCACGACTTCTCCAACCGCGGTTCCTTGGACAGTTGGTGCAAAAGCCCAACCATGATCATCTCCCAGCCGCCGTCTTTGAAGTCGCGCTTTCGCAGGTGGTCGATCCACTCGTACTCCTCCAAGAGGTCTTGGGCGCGGTGTTTGACCTCTGGTTCTGCTGCCTCAGCCTCGGCTGCCTTGAGCTCGGCAGCCAGCCGTTCGGCCTCGGCCTTGGCCAAGCTACTCCGGGTGGCGCGCGCCGGTGGCCTCTCCGCTTCGGGGGTGGGCGACCTTGCCTCTTCTTCCTCCTCTTCCTCATCCTCGTCATCCTCGTCCTCCACCTCAGGCAGCGGCACGTTGACCTTGCCACCATCGGCCTCCGAAGACACAAGCATCTTGAGGACGGAGCAGTGGATCTCCTCAAACAGTTGAACAGTCGTCTCTTCGGATGCGACGCACATGGCTTCGACGAAATCATCAAAGGTGAAGGAGTCGAGCTTGAAGATCTCACAGTACACGTTGAGCGTGTCCCACGTTTCCAGCAGGGGTCCGACCGACGACATGGAGATTCGGTCTCGGTAGTCCTTGGGAGATTCGTCGCTGCCGTTTGCTGTTGGAACCGACTCGCTCGGCGGGTCCTTGCACATGAACTTGATGGGTGGCCTGATTTTGTCGTCGCGCGGCTCGAGCGCGAGATCCTCAATGGGATACTTTGGTGGCGGTGGAGGTGGCGGTGGTAGGGCGGCTGCCATGTGATGCGGCAAGGCGTCGTTTTGGCGAAAGTTGGGGAGCTGAAAGGGGTTGCCGGATGAGTGGGCGTGAAAGACGCCCGCCTCGGGAGCAGGTCGTTTCGGGTCGTTGAGGTAATGTCCAGAGAGGTTTTGATGTGGGTGTTGCAGCTTGCCCTTTTGCGTCTTGGGCATGGGCTTGAGCTCTGGCAAACGGGCAGGTCCCGAGGGTGAGGATCCATTGGCGTTGGCGCCGTTTTGGTCGTGAGGGAGAGAGGCGCGCTTCTGGGCCTGGTGCATCTTCCTCTCGAGGAGCTTGTTGTCGTAGAGCAGATGCGCGGGGATGCGCGTGTCGATGTGGTATTCCTGGGCGTAGTCGTGGTTCACGAGCCAAGGAGCGCCATTCCAGGCCTCGCGAGTGACGGTCCGCTTGATGAAAGACCGCAGGACAGCCTTGGTGAAGATCTTGCGATCGCGGAATATGTGGCTGTCGTCGACGACGGCCTCGGCATCCTCGCGGTCGTCAATGCTGACAAAGTATTTTGTGCTTGGCGGCCTGATGGTGCCGTCGGGAAGGACCTTGTGGCCAAAGCGTGTCTTCTCGCGAACGCTTCCTTGTAACCTCTCGCCGTTGGTGAGCTTGACGGTCACGGCCTCACCGGGGTAGTAGTCGGAACGGAAGTCCTCAAAGACCATGTCGACGAGCGTATCAATGCGGGAGACGGTCTGGAACTGGACGCGGCGGAGGACGGGGCCCTTGAGTGCTTCAGGGAAAGCTTGCTCTACTTCCTCGGCGCCGGCGGTCTGGGGGAGAGAAAAGTGGTCAGGTACGCAATGTCAGAGGAGGGTCGGGAGGAGAACGCATGCTAACCTCGCTCTTCAGAGCTTCGAAGAAGGTCAAGCCCGAATGTCCACTAATCTGGCAGTTGAAACGTCGCTAAACACAGAGCTTGGGTGAGTATGGGTGTCGCGACAGAAGTTGCCCCACTCGACCGAGTTCGCTCTTACCTGCTTGTAGAAATCCATCCTAAGAGGTGTCAGCGGAGGGCTCATTGAACATAATGAGGGTTGGGGGAAAAGGCTGGGGAGGAGTTCAGCCTACCTGGCCAAGTAGTCTTCATATTGACCAAAGACTTCTCCCGTTTGAGGAATGTGCCAAACCTAGAAGAAAGCTTGGTTAGCGTCGGCGCTTGAGGGAAAGAGAGGGGAGGGGGGGGGGGGGGGACGGTTAGTTGCGAACCTCTGCATTGTCGTCCTTGATGTCGGCTGGAGGTAAAAAGCGAACAGGCTTTCGCTTGAAAAGAACCTACGAGTTGCATGTCAGCGCCATGCGGATCCAGATGAGTTTGTTTGTATTTGTTGGTCAGAGTATACCATGGTGGCTGTGGCTTTGCTACAATTGCATCGTCTGGCCCGAGGGTTGGCAGGGTGGACCGGGATACCGTGATGCAAGGCTGAAAAGTAGCCTGCCCTCGTATG